AAGCATGTTTTAGGGTGATATACAAATAATAATAATAAAATTTTTAAATAAAATACAAAAACAAAGGCTCCCACTATATTTTGCAAATTTCTGTTTATAAATTTTCTCATTAAATTCCTTGGAACATGTTATGCTTGAAGCAAACTCTAATGAAAATTGGTTTATGTATGCCAGGCATGGTGGCTCATGCCTTTAATCCCAGCACTCAGGAGGCAGAGGCAGGTGACTTTGCCTGGTCTACACAGTGAGTTCAGGCCATCTGGGGCTGCAGGGAGACCCTGTATACTGTGCAGTGACTACCATTAAGAAACAACAGTGGGGGGCTGGAGAGATGGCTCAGCGGTTAAGAACACTTTTTGCAGAAGACCTGGGTTCGAATCCCACTCACATGGCAGCTAACAATTGTCCATAACTCCAGTTCCAGGGGATCCAACAGCCTCTTCTGCCCTCTGTGGAACATGGGTGCACTTACATACATGCAGGGAATACACACATACACATAAAAATAATAAAAAAGTAAAATATATAATCCTTTATGTTAAATATGTAATTATGAACAGATTATAAAAGAAGATAAAAATAAATTACAATGGAGTAGTAGTTGCAAACGCTTTATCTTTTCAACATTTATAACTTTTATTGCTTTCTAAAGATAAAGGGAAAGCATTTTTAAGTTTTCTCTCGCAGCTGGAGAGATGGCTTAGTGGTTCAGCGCTCTGGCTGTTCTTGAGGAGAACCCAGGTATGGTCCTGGTCTGGTGGCTCACAATCCTCTGTAACTCCAGTTCTAGAGGATCCAACACCCATTCTAGCCTCCACAGACACCAGGTACATATGTGGTACACATACACACATGTAGGCAAACTCTCATATACATGAAATAAGAATAAATAAATCTATAAAGTGTGCAGTTCAGTAGGGTAAATGCATTCCCATCATTGTGAGGCAGATTTCTGGAACCTTTTCTTCTTATAAAACTGAGAGTCTATACTCATTAAACAACTAACCATCATATTCATTCCTCTTTCTATGCTATCATACAAATGGAATCCTACACAGTGTTTGTCTTTTATTAACATTATTTCGTTTAGCATAATGCATAATTTTTTTTGCAAGTTTGTATAGTATCAGATTGTATGTGTTTACAGTGTTTTGCTTATTCATTCATCCGTTCATGGACATGGGATGTTTCCTACTGTCAAATATTATGAATGGTATGCCTTATGAGCATGGGTGTGGAAACACCTCTTTGAAACTCTGCTTTCAATTTTTTGGGATATATTCCTAGAAATGAGTTTGCTGGTTCATTTGGTAGTTATATTATTAAATTTTTTTTTTTTTGGTCTTTTTGAGACACGGTCTCCCTGTAGCCCCAGCTGTC